ATGGAGATGATGTTGTATTAGACGCAGGAGATGGTGGTAAAGATGTCAGATTTAAGGCTATTTTTGAAGAAGGTGCAAAGACATCTGCTGATTTTATGGCATCCAAAATGGCTGAAGGTGAAGAAATTGGAGAAGAAGATAGGGAAGCAGCAGAAAGTGAGGAAGAAGATAGGTTAGGGGATGTAAAGTATCCTGCTACGCCGGTACAATCAGAAGAGGAGTGGGATGACTGGATGTGTAAACGGAAGCCTAATGAAAAACCCAGGTTTCATGGCTCTTTCGATAAAGAGCCTTATATCTGGCTGTTTCAGAAGTTTGACAGTGGATTACAGTTTAAGGATCAGTTGCTCCGTTATTCTCTTAACACGCAGTATGATGTTAAGATGGCCAGGTCCGAAGCGAACAGAATAGCAGCTGTTTGTTGTGTAGAGAAATGTCCTTGGAGGGTGTTTTGTTCAATCGAAATACCTATCAACAAATGGATGGTAAAAGTGTGTCACTACAAGCATAACCACGAGAAATCAAGCCGTGTTTCCATGTTAAAACAAGGTGTGATTGCAGGACTGTTCAGAGAAGAGATAAGAAGGAATGTGAACATGCAAGCATCAGAGATTAAGGACATCATAAAGGAAAGGTATAACATTGTTGTACCTCTTTCAAAGTGCTATAGAGGAAGAAAGATTGCACTTGACTCGATACTAGAAGCACAAGCAGTACAATTTGGAAAATTGTGGGATTATGAGGCTGAGCTGCGAAGAACACATCAAGGTATCATCACAGAGCTGAACACTATCGATGTAAATGGTGTCCCTCAGTTTGACAGCTTTTACATATGTTTTCAAGAATTTCGTGAGACTTGGAAAAGATGTTGTAGACCAGTTATTGGATTGGATGGCTGCTTCTTGAAATGGGAATTGAATGGAGATTTGCTATCAGCTGTTGGCAGAGATGCTGATAATAGAATGTATCCCATAGCATGGCCAGTTGTTCAAGGAGAAAACAAAGACACTTGGGGATGGTTTATAAAAAGGCTGAAGGTAGACCTCGGTTTAGGTTCTGGAGATAACCACACCATCATTTCTGACAAGCAAAAGGGGCTTGTGATTGCAGTGGCGGCAGAACTGCCTAATGCTGAACATAGAATGTGTGCTCGCCATATCTATGGTAATTGGAAGAAATCATTCTCAAGGTCTGAGTACAAGAACTTGTTCTGGGGAGTCGCTTACAGCTACAACACTGGTGAATATGAAGACAACATGAGGAGGGTAGAAGCGTATGATCCAGCAGCTTATGCTTCACTTTTAAGTACTGAACCAGAAAAGTGGTGTAGAGCATACTTCTCTGCTGACTCTCGATGTCATGATGTCCACAACAACTTATCAGAAAGCTTCAACAGAACTATAAAGATAGCAAGATCAAAGCCTGTTATTTGTTTGTTAGAAGATATTCGACGACAAGCTATGAGACGTGTTGCTAGAAGATTTCTTAAAGCAGCTAGATGTGATACCATCTTAACACCAAGCACAATGGCACTGTTAGAGAAAGCAAGGGTTGATAACAAATTCTGCTCCACAATAAGAAGTTCTTCCACATTATATGAGGTGAATGAATTTAATAACGGCTACAGAGTTAGCCTTTCAACACACGAGTGTGCTTGTAGGCGGTGGGATCTAACAGGTTAGTGGTTTTGTTTTTAAATTTTGTAAAAAAAATTATTCTTGCTGCCTTATTGATTTGTGAAATTTGATTAATAGGTATTCCATGTAAGCATGCCATTTGTGTGCTTGATGACAATAGAGATGATCCAGTGAAATATGTCTCTCATTATTACCATGCAAGTGTCATGAAAGAGACATATACTGAGAATATTAAGCCAGTGAATGGTGAGAAGCTGTGGAAGAAGACATGGAAAACACCAGTGGGAATTCCAAATTTTCGGAAACCAAGAGGTAGACCGAAGCTCCGTGACAGAAGAAAGGAGCCATTTGAGGATTTGCAGAATGCGGGAAAGGTTACTAGACATGGAAGAACCCTTCATTGCAGCAACTGTTTACAAGTCGGACATATCAAAAGCGGTTGCAAGAATGAAAAAGTTGTAGTTGAAGGTCCCAAAAACAGAAGAGGGCGACCACGTAAAGCTCCAAGTGAGGTAAGTTGTTGTTCTTTGATAATGTATGTTGTATGATAATGGTTTAAGTTTTAACTATCGTCCTTTTTAGGTACCAAAACGGCCAACAAAGCCTAGGAAAAGGAAAAACCCATCTACTGTGAGCAGTTCACAACCACTACCAGCTGGCGCATACACCTCTGAGTTTTCTGCACCATCTACTGCACCTGAACCAGCTAGCTCATCAGCTCCGCAAGCGAAGAAAGCCAAACGTGGACGACCTCTGAAAATAACAAAATCTGTTCCAATCCCAAGAGGTGTAGGAATACTCCATTGTCCATACACAGATCGAGTTTTCGAGGTTATAAACAACAGAGCTTATGATACATCAGCCCGTCCAGAACCACCGCAGTAATCTCTTGATGTGTTATTATCTGAATCTATCTTATTATGCTTTTGAACCTATCCTATTATGCTTTTGAACTTATCCTTCGGAAGTTGTCTCTTGAACTAATCTTATGCTTATGTTTTGTTGTTTATCTTGTTGCTACTATGTTTATGTCATTTTGTTATGAACCTATATCTATGGTATTGGATTTTCGTTTTAAACATATGTTCACTTTGTGTTGCTATCAAATGAATCACATATGATTGCATAACATTAAGAAAGAGACGACCACAAATACCAACAAACATAACCTCGTTTTACCAAATCACAAAAACAAACACCCATAGCCGAAATCTAAGATAACAACATTGTTTCCTTGTAGCTAGCATCCAAAATACATCACTGCCGAAAAAAAAAACATGCCATCTAACACCACATTTATCCAACTCTAATGCTTAACCATCGCCACCATGACTCCAGTAACCACAACAAATCCGAAAGTCGAGGATATTAGGACATTTCGATACACTCTGCTCCTCTCGCTTAGTACCAGTGCTTCACGCTTAAGTCCCTCACATTCTTCGCGACTTGCTTTCAACTCTTCCAATACCGAGTTTGGAATCTCCAATTGTCTTTCCCTATCATGAGTTAATCCTCTCATAGACTCCTTCAACTGCTTAATCTCTTCCTTTTGGGCACGCATTATATCTCTCGCCTCCAACAAGGCTTGATGTTGCCACCCATATGGTCTCTCAACATCATACCACTGAAAAAAGTTACAAGATTCATACCCTTGCTCAACCTTTCGTCCTTTACAGCTGTAGAATCGTCGTCCTGGGTTGTCGTCTGTCCAAGCTTGTACAACCCGTGCTAGCGTTTTGCAGTTACACAAAACCCCCTTTTCGTTTTTGTATCCCATCGTTGAAGAGCTTGCACTGTGAGCCATCTGTAAAACAAGAGAATGCTCTCACACCCAACTCGAAAATCTCATATCAATTAAACGGAACCATACCTGTTCTTATCAACTTCGATCTCCTTCGATGTCTCCTTCTTTTTCTCTCTCGCCGTCGCTTTGAAGAAACAGAACCCTAATTTTATCCCAAATTCGATTTAAAGTGTTTTAATAATTTATCCCAAAACGACGTCGTTTTTGCTGTCCCAAAACGTCATCGTTTTAATCAAAACGGAGGGTTAACACTCTAATAACGGAGTAAAGTATGCTGTTAACGGGGTTAATTATTCCGTTAAAGAAATTGTCGGCGCGAAGAGATTAGCCAAGATGAGGGTTTAATATGCTAAATTAGCCACCTTGGATGTTTAAAGTGCTTGTATAATTCCCTCAGGGTTTAAAGTGTCAGTGGGTGCCACCTTGGATGTTTTTTATGCGATTTTCCCTATTCTAATGTGTAGAGAGATGCATTAAAACAACTTTCGACTGTACGGAAGCTTCTCTTTGGGTGGCATTGTGTGATCTCTCACAGTTATCATACGGTTTTGATGATTTCTGTATTTAATTGCTTATTTAAAAAAAAATTGGTTTGTGTGATAATTTATCCACTCATATGCTAAAGCTCCCACTTCTGTTATTATTTTTGTTTATTGGTGATCTTAAGATCTTTTCAACGGGTGAAGAATGTGATACTAATACTATAATACATGTTTTTGATACTTTTTATGCAGAAGTTAGACACACATGATCTAAATAAGAAACGCAAGATAATCATTTGCAGACAATTTAGACCGTCTGATCTCACCGGTGGACAAGGTGTAGAAGAAGGAACTACCGTGAACAACCGTATGAACCGCAGAATGAATCTCTCCTACAACCTGATCACATGACCACGCCATTGTTGTGTTAGTCTTTCGGTCTTCTGGTCTTTTTATCCCCTTAACTGTATAAACATCATAAGAAACAAGTTTGTATTACCTAAATTCCTAATTCATGACATACGCTATATATATAAAGTTTGCTGTTATCTATGTGTCATTTTTAGGGATGTGATGTTATAATCTAATGCTTAACTTATTGTAATTTTTATAGATTTGAAAACAATTTAAAAGATGTATAACCCATCAAATACATTCAAATGCTTTATTGACTATTTTTTTAAACGTATCACACTTAAAAATGTTTTAACTATGACAATATAATATAATAGTGTGGATTCTAAAATCCACCAAGTATATAGAAACAAAATATTATATTTGGATTAAGGTTACAACTATTGCTTAGATATTTCTTTGTTAAAAATAGTCGAGATGACATGTCACTGGGAGTCCAATTAGTACAAACTTTTAAACAAAAAAAAAATTTATTAAAATTTAAAATTATTTAAGTGTCGTTCAAAAAAATATTATTTAAATTATGATTCTAAAATAGATAGTCAAATAAATCAACAAATTTGTCATGATAAAAATATAATATTAATTTTATATTTAGTTGAAAATGAATTAAACATTTTAAATATATTTTAATTATTTATCCGCCCGTAGGGCGGGTTTTTCCCTAGTATATAATAAATAATATTTAATTTCAAATTTGACAAAATATAATCAATTTTTTTAATAAAATATTTGCATCCACGAAATAGTGGACATCCACCTAATATAAAGTAAGAGATAGAAACTACTTTTGTTTCACATCTGTCTAACAAATGACAAGTTTGAGAGACTTGTTTGGCATGTATCATTATATCATTGATCTAACTCTTCAATCTATTAACTTTAACTGTAATATTAATTTATATGAAAATTATATGCATAAAAGACTCTAATATCAGTTTTTTCTATGTTGATGCTCTAATTAATAACCAAAAGTGCACATTTAGAGACAGCATGCAGTTTTTGTAGTTGCATAAGGGAACACATCATTCCAAATCCAGTTATATTAAGGGAATACTAGACTTTTGACCCGTGCGCCCGCACGGGTGTTGATTTTATTTTTTATATTGACCAGTATTTTTATATGTTTGATAATATAATTTTCTAATTATCATAAGATATATATATATATATATATATATATATATGAAAATATGCTTAATATGACATTATACACACAAATATTTTGGTTTAAACGCAACAAACTTAATTATTTATAGACCCGCCAATTATATTAGTTGTTTGTTTTAGTATTTTTATTTAACTGGATTTGCATTAAATATATAAATAACTAACTAAAAATAGTATTTTTATTATCTGGAACATCTTTTATTAGTTTCAAATGTAAACTAAAATTTGAGATTATGAATTAAAAATCTACAGAAATGTACTATATTTAAAATAAGTAATATATTAAGCTATATTATCAAAACCTAAGTTATAATTTTATTAATAAATTATCTGCGTAAAGATAATAAATGGACTATCACAATAGGAAATATTAGATGAGGTCCAAATCTTATGATTGTAACAGATTATTCCCGGAAAACAAAATAGTGAGAAACTTTTGTTTAATTTTTTTTGAGTTTGAGTTCTTACTTCTTAGACATGTTTAGGATATTTTATGAATTATGATGTGCTTCCAAGCTTAAGGCATGATATATATATATATATTGTTGATCCGAGTGGGATAAGTTTAATAACAAATCTTAACAACATTGGTTTTCAGTTGTGAACTTGTGATTTGAATGTGAAGAAAACATGATATATGTCTTTAAATTATTTTAATATACATTTTAAAGAGTTTAAAACAGTATATTCGTTTTGTAAGTAAGTCACACGTGATTTGCAAAAGATAATGTATGTCAATTAAGGGGGACCGAGCTTTTCGTTTTCATTTTCTATGTTAAATCAAATGTGATATGCAAGTTTTGAAAACACAATATGGATATAGTGTTAATAAGATTGCTATTGCTAGTTATGATGATTGCTTTAAAATAGGAAAAGATTTTGGAAAGTTATTGATTTAAGTTTTGTACGAATTATTAGTTTTGAATTGGTTTACCGGATATACATTTTTATACTGACTGACCAAATAAAGTATTATAAATATATTTTGCATGTTTCAGAAAACATAATATATATATAGATATATTATATATATTGAATATTATACAAATTAAAAAATTGTTCATAAAATATATTTTGTAAATATTTTGAAGAACAATCGAAAATCAGACAAATATATTTTGCATATTATATGAACCATATTATTGTCCATCAAAAATAGTTTTTAAACATTTTTAAGAACAATCGAAAAGCATACAAATGTTACAAAAAGAACAATCTATTAAAATAATACTTATGTGGGAAACAGTTCATGTATAAACCACATGCTTTAATAGTCATGATATATTTTGGTTGAGTTATCATGATATATATTGAATCGATTTTTTTGTGTGTGTGGTAGATATATAATAGTAGTCAATTGGATTTTGAATAGATTGGATTTGATTTAGCAGACAATACTAAACCGATAAATAATTGGTTTAGAAACACGTTAGTTTTGGTTAGTCTATAAATTAAATATAGTTGATTAAACTAATATTCTAAAATCTTGATAATAAAAGTCAG